AATTGTATTCGATGGAATATGTTCACCATAAGCTTCATCAAGCATTCGACGAGCATCAGCAGCAGTTTTCTTTAATGAAAACAAAAAAGTAAAGCCTCCCGCAAATGATGCTTTTCTAGTACAAAATTCGACATTTTTAACGTAATAAAAAACAATGTTATTGTATGAGATGCAATTAACTAATTTTTGTTGAGGATTGTTACAGCTGTAAAAAAAAAAAATATTTATATTGAGTACTTTTCGAAAAAACATCATCTTTATATGTGCCAAACCCGGTTTTTAATTACTACACCTGGTAAATTTCACTCCCTTTTTTAAATTTTTAAATAGAGTATTGATATCCAATTTTTGCCTTTTTTATTTAAGTTAATGTACACTGCTAAACTTTTTCTAAATCTTCGCAATGTGTTGAATGATTTAAGGATGATGTTTTATTTGAGTTATTTAATAAAAAGTATATCAGTATTCTCAAAATTAAGGTTAAATCGAAGTATAAAAAACAAAATCTCCTAAAAATATACATATTCACATGGAACATGTAAGTTACTTTTGCAATAATATGCATAAAGTACTTCACCAGTAATTTGGTACAACTGCATATAAAATTTGGATTGAGCATTATCCAAGACCAAGGGCATTATATTTTACGAACACATTTTTAGATCTTTTCGAATTTACTTTAACGCATACATTTTTTCCATTTTTTAAAAATTAAAAATAGATAAAATTCCCATCACCAAGATAAACTTTATTGAAATTTTGATATGAGTGAAAGTTATCTTATATACAAAAAGATTTTGAAATAAAACGAAATTTATCAGCTTTACGTGAATAAAAACTTTAGCAATTTTGCTCAAACTTTTATTCAGTAAAGCTGAACAATTATTCAGCATTTTTGGAGTAGGGGAGAGTCGGGTAATGGCGAAGGTGGGGAAACTCCAAACAAGGTCGTTATGGCATGTTAGAAAAAGATAGTTGATAATCTTATTTTTTCTGGCAAGAGTGGGTTCCATGCTCAGTTCCAGACGTGCAGTAGTGTAGCATAGATGCGTAGATTGTTCACGATAGACTGATTCAAAGTTTTTATCTTAGTTTCATGTAATTTTTACTTGCGAAACATTTATGTATTTGTTATACTACGTATACAAAACCAAAAAAAAATTATGTTGTTGCAAAGTATCATAATTATTGAGTTTTTAACACGTATTATATTTAGGTTATCTTAACACTACCTCATTATATTCATTTATTTTCATTTGTTTGGGTCGCGGGGAAATAACGAACGATCTTAGGTGGGAAATCACGAACGCTCAGTGTATATGAACGGACGTTTCTTGAATAAAGTTGTTATACATTATTTATTTTATTTATTAATGTAAAATATCAATGTTAAACTTTAAACAAAGTTAAACATTAAACAGTTTATATATATATATATATATATATATATATATATATATATATATATATATATATATATATATATATATATATATATATATATATATATATATATATATATATGCATATATATATGCATATATATATGCATATATATATGCATATATATATATATATATATATATATATATATATATATATATATATATATATATATATATATATATATATATATATGCATAAATACATGCATATATGTATTTATAAATTGTATAATGCATATATATTTTTATATATTATATAATACTTACATATGTGTGTGTGTGTTTACACACACATTTTATTAGAGATCTGTACTTTGTACACATTTAAGATCATTAGGAACTTTATTTTATGTATGTAAAACACACATTTTATGTATTGTAAAACACACATTGCTATTTACACACACACATACACACACACACACACACACACATAAACACACACACACACAAACAACCAAACACACACACACACACAATTTTACAAAAAACAAAATTTAAATTTTTTTTTTTAATAAAATAGTAAAAAACACTTATATAGTTTTGTATTTGATTTGTACTTTTATCTTCTGTAGGATCAGAAAGTATCCTGTCCAGTGGATTTGTTTTAAATTGTAATGGACCAATACTAGTTATCAGTAGTAGGCATATAAATTTATGTTATTTTAATTTCTTTTTTATTTTAGATGCAACGAAATTATAATTGAAAAACTGAAATAAAGTATAGGCTAGAGGATTTAAAAAAGGCCATAAAAGACGTGAGAAATAAAACCTTTTCATTAAGTCAAGCCTCTTCAGCTTATTCGGTGCCTAAAACCACCTTACATGACTACGGCAAGAAAGAAATCATAACACAACCAAAAAGCGGAAGAAAATGTATATTCTCAGATGCGCAAGAAAAAGAGTTAAATGATTATATTGTCAATTGTAGCCAGGTTTTTCATGGGTTAACAATTGAAATGGTGCGAAAAATTGCTTTCAAATTTGCTGAACAAAATAAGCTGAACCATAAATTTAATAGGACAACTCAATTGGCAGGGAAAGAGTGGAATTATTCTTTCATAAAAAGATATTCAAATATTTCATTGAGAAAACCTGAGCCCACTTCGTTAAACAGAATAAATGGATTTAATGCAACAGAAGTAAAAATGTTTTTTGAAAATCTGGAAACTTTACAACGAACTTATGCTTGCCATGGTCAGTGACTCAGGTTGGATCAATGAAAATTTATTTGTGGACTGGCTTAATCACTTTATCTCATTTGCTAAACCAACCAAAGACGAACCTGTGCTATTAGTCCTAGATAACCATGCAAGCCATATTAGCCTTAATTGCTATCTACTCTGTCATGGAAATGGAATTGTATTGTTATCCCTTCCACCACACACTTCCCATAGAATGCAACCATTAGTTTTAACATACTTTTGTCCACTTAAGTCTGCATACAACAGGAAATGTGACATTTCTATGGCAGCAAACATAGGCCGATAAATTACTCAATATGAAGTTGTTGTATTCATATTGATGAACTATTTACAAAATAGTTCATATTGATGAACTATTTTGCAAATAGTTCATCAATGAACTATTTACAAAAGCTTTTAATCGTCTCAGCAATATTGAAAAAGCAGCCAATGGATTTCGAGCAGCTGGTATTTATCCGTTAGATCTCACAAATAACAATGATTTATTTCCAATCACTATCATTACACCTGAAATGTCATTACTTGATAACATTCAGAGTGCAAAATTCCAGGTAAACACAATGAATCAATCAGATGCTCAAGCCAAATCATCTTAGTTATTTAATCTGTCATTGAATCCTTCTAGTGTAGGTCTGTCACCTGATGTGAATGTAGCCCCGAAACTGGTCTCAATTAGATCAAATCAGCCAATATCTCTTTTAAATATTGTTTCTGTACCTAATTTGCCAAAAAGGAAAACCATAGAAAGTCTAAGAAAGAAACATTCGACTATTATCACTAGTTCTCCAATGAAAGATTTTTTAAAGGACAAGCAGCAAAAGAAAAGTATAAAGGAACAAAAATTAAAAAAGGCTGCTGGTAAAAAAAGGAAGGGAGGGAGCAACTTTAACAAGTCTGAGGCTAATAATGTATTAAAGAAGAAGAACATAACCAGAGACGATAAAGAAAATGATTACTATTGTTTAATTTGTGAAGAGAAGTATCATGATTCACCCAATGAAGACTGGGTTATGTGTTACTTATGTAAATCCTGGTCCCACGAGAAGGGCACAAGTTCCTCAAGCACATCCAGAGGTTTTCTCTGTGATTTTTGCACGTAATTTATGGGACTAACATTTTATTTGCTTTGAATAACAATTATTGATGTTTGATTTTTTAGCGTTGATTTGTTTAAAATTCGATTCATTTATATTTCAGCGCTTCAATTAAGTTTGATTTGCTTCATTACTTTGATTTTTATTTCGAAAATCTACTTGTTCTGATTTTAATTATATTTTTCAACAAATGCGCACATGCCTCTCCTTTAAAATAAGCGAATCAGATTTTTTTTTTAATTTTAATTTACCTCCCCAAGGCCATGAAAGCCACTACAGTCGATGAGACTACTTTCAGTTGTGGTTACAACCCTCTCTCAACTTTATAACTCCGAAACACGAAGCTTGACAAACAAGCCCGCTGAGCGGAGAAACGAGATTGCTCATATTTCTGCTTATCCTGAGCTAGTGTAGGGTTTTAAAATATACAATCAGGACTTGGTTTCAATAACTGTGCTTCAATTAACTACTGTATCTTTCAAAACAAGTGAACTATTGTTATTATTATGACTTTCTTATCTTTTTTATATAACTATTATCATCATTATTGTTACTGTAATTGTTTACATTTCTCTCACTTTTTCGAATTTCTTTTTGACACAAAAGAATGAACGTTATTATATCAAAGTAAAAATGAACTGATCAACGAAAAAAAAGTCAAAGCGTGAACTAGGTTGTTTACTTAAAGAACTCTCTGGATGAAAAAATTACAATCAAGAATAAGAAGCATTCTCACAAAGAAGATAACCTTGTTAAATGGTTAAGAATGCTCTTTCTGAAAACAACTAGTAGCCTATAAAAGAATCAAATTTAAAGAAGTTGAACAAAAAACAATATATCGTAGTTTTATATTCCAGATAACAAATAAAAAGCAACTTTAATTACCTGTTATTTTTTGTAAGCAATGAAACTATTAATTTGTTGTCAACAAAACAAAATAACTTGATAACAACTAACAGATTGAATGACATTAAAAAATTCGGGACTTAAATTAAACTTAATAAATTGTTCTAAGAGAATAATATCAAAAACGTGGAATATATAATCTTTTTAGAAAATATTATTTATTTGAAATTTAGTTAAATTCTCTTTAAATATATATTTAACATAAAACAAAAAATGAGATATAAAAACAAAACAAAAAACGTGCATAGTTTTACAACGCATTGTCTATGCGTTACAATTGTTATTGTCTAAGTACAATATGCAACTGTCATTGTCTCAAAACTTAAAAAGCAAAACAAAACACACGGAAATGTTTCAATAATAATCTCTTTAGTTATAAAATAAATATAAAAAAAAATTACGTATGAATATTAAACTTGGGTTACTTTCATTGATTCCATTTTTTTACGAACACTGTTGCAAGCTTTTATAACTAATCTATTAAATTCATCTACTTGGTCAGCATACAAATGGTGACTAGCATCTTTAATTTCATATATCTTTATATACGAATCTCTTAGTATACTCCTCACATAGTTAAAATTATAAAATTTAATAACCCAAGAGTTTGAGCCATAGAGTATTGTAATAGGAACTTGTGGTGACATAGCTTGAATTCTCTGATTTAAAGGACGATTTGCAAATCCAATCGAAGAAATAGTAAAAAATGCTATTTCACCGCTAATAACAAAATAGAAATATACATTTCATATATATAATATATAAATGTAAATATATATATATATATATATAAATGTAAATATATATATATATATATATATATATATATATATATATATATATATATATATATATATATATATATATATATAAATGTAAATATATATATATATAGAGAGATTAGGATTATAACACAAAAACAAATTTTTTGGCCAGTAGTAGGACTAAATGAACATCTTAATACTGATTAAGCAAATCACCTTTATTTTGTTCCATTTACAAAAACGTTCCCGCACCAAGACACCTGACAACATGGTGCGTGCAGTTTAAGACCAAAAACATTTCTCTTCGAAAGTATGTCAAGTAAGTTCTCAAAATAACCGTAATTCATTAGGTAATTTAAATAATTTAAAGCTTATAACTAAAAATTAATTTTTTCAAAAAGGTATACCATTTATAGTGTTTGCTTTCGCCACTATTTGTACGCAACTTCTATTAATGATTTATTGCTTAGAAACCTGTAATACATATTAAAAACCAAAAAAACCCGGCTGTTTAAAACGGCCTCCTAGTGGGTTTTTAAAAGTTTTTAACATCGAATTATGTAATAAAAGGCTAATTTATGAAATATAAAATACATTTTCAACAATATTTCAAATTAGACAAATAAAATTTGCTTTTTAAGTTTCCATTGCTAAATTAAGAACTCATTTTATTTATTAAACATATGCATATTAGTATTTTTAAGTAACGGGTGTTCACTTGAAATCCGGACTGACTTTAAGTCAATATAAATCTGACATAATGTATTGCAATTGTACCATGTGATACATTATTTTAAAGCGTTTAAATTTAGCTTTAATATGCTACATTTATATTTAGATTGAATGATTATTCAAATTGAAAATGAAACCTAAACAAGACGACACTCGAAAACGTGTGTACAACTTCTATATTAAAAATAAAGAAAAAGGCAAAAAGTACACCGTAGATCATTTTGAAAAAGAAAAAATTGCCAGATCGACCATCTATGATATAATTAAACGTGCTGATGACGATTCTGGATATCTTAGACGTCCTGGTTCAGGAAAAAAAGCTCTAAAAATGACCCAAAAAAAAGTACAAGCGTTAAAATCAATGTTTGATCATCATGATGGCGTTCCTTATAGGAAAGCAGGTAGAAAATTTATAATATCAGCTTCTTATGCCCATAAAATTATTCAGACAAAATCAAAGATCAAGAAAAGAAAGAAGAAAAAGATTCCACATCGAACTGATGATCAAAAACTGATGGCAAAAACATAGTGTGGTATATTATATATACCACACTTATACCATTATATCGAGCTTTTAGCAAATTTGATTGGATCATTGATGATGAATCTTATTTTACTCTTTCTCATTCATCAATCAACGGAAACGATAACTTCTACACAAGTGACATAAACCTCTGCCCATCTAGTGTCAAATATTATACAAAGCGAAAGTATGAACCCAAGATCCTGGTCTTGGTAGCCTTTTCTGTAAAAGGAATGTCAAAAATTCTAATCCGTCAAAGTGGTCTTGCAATCAATCAAAAAATCTACTTAGAAGATTGTATTAAGAAACGTCTTATTCCTTTTATTAAAGAGCATCATCAAGACAGTCAATTCGTATTTTGGCCAGATCTGGCGACGTCTCATTATGCTAAATCTGTTCAAGCTTATTTAAATGGATAAAACGTCAGATTTGTACCAAAAGAAGATAACCCTGCAAATGTACCAGAAGCAAGACCTATTGAGGATTTTTGGTCAATAATAAAAGGTTTAGTTTACAAGGATATTTGGCAAGCAGAAAATTTAGAACAACTAAGGAAAAGGATAGTGTATTGCTTCAGCAAAGTTGATATCAATCTTGTACAAGAGTTTGCAAAGGGTATTTTATCAAGAATTGATTCTATAAGAAGAAAAAATTTAATTGAAAATAAATAAAGTATCATATTATAGAGAATTAAATGCTGATTTTAAATCATATTTTATTTTTTTAAGTTGATAAAAAATAAGGGAGTTATGACCCTTTAAAGTCAGTCCGGATTTCAAGTGAACACCCCTTATGTTTACATAATATGCACAACTGTTTTCTCAAAAATTCACAAAAAACATTTTAAAAAAATTCAGAACACCCCAAAATAATTTCGATTTATCTAAAACACGTGTAACTTTAACTTCTTGTTCACACTAAACCAAGTAAACATATGATGATCAGGGATATCCAAACCATGTTTATGTGGGCTTAAACCATCCACTAAATACAGTTTTTTTCAAAAATGCTGCTTTTTGAAATAGGTAATCCATATAAACTTGTACACTTTACCTTCTCTGAAAGATATTTCATTCGGTAGTTGATGGACATTTAACTTATTTGGAATATAACTCATTAAAAAGATGAGTTAAAATTATTAAAAATCACCATTAAAATTGTTAAAAAATCAAAAGTTGATGTGAACAATAAGAACACTATTTTTTTAAGAAAAAAGTTCAATACTACTTCTTCACTTCCTTAATACTACTTCTTCACTTACTTTTAAGAAAGTACTTCATTTCTGTTCCAAATTTACATATTAAGAGGTTTCTACTTTTGTCTTGAGAAGCACAAAGCCTGCAAAGGTCTAAGAGCCAAACACTTTTTGCTTTATCCCAATCATTGGAATCAATAAACCTTATTATAGAAGCAATTTTTTCTTTGAGATCTGAGTTTTTCAAATTAGTCAATATGCTATTTAACAGTCCAAAGTGCAAGTAAAAAATAATTAATTTAGCATGTATTCAATAGTTTAACCAACTTTTTAAAATTTGATTTAATAAACTTTATTTATTTAATAACGATTTAAACACCAAAAGTTTTCATTTTTATTTTTGTTAATTTTCAATTTCTTTAGACTGACAAAATCTTGCATGTTAGACAGTGAACGCTTTATATTCTTGATAGAATCATCTTTATCTACGCTTGAATGATCATCAATTGACTCAGAGGAGAAACTAAATTAATTTTAAGTTAATTTTTCAAAAACATTTAAGAATTTTTTTAATCATAAACTTCGTCTTCTGAAGTTTCAATTTGTGTCAAAATTGAAGTTTCTAGTTGAGCACTATTAGTAAAAAAGGATGTTAGTAATCCAACTGGACTTAAAATCAACACTAAGTATTTTCCACATGCTAAATACTAAATTACACTAGCAATATGTGCGCAGCAGCCTACAGTTCTCATGCCAGTTTTAGACGTACAGTCCCATTCTTTGTTTTCAGTTTCATAATTTTTATTAAATAAATATTGTACATAAACATTATATACTTTGTAGTCCCAGAATAACAAGATCTGATAGTAAGAGAAAGAACTTTCGATTTTCCTATTGACTGAACACTTTCAAATATAGCCAATTATTTTTTTCTTTTATTGAAATGTTCAGAAATGTAGCTTTATCATTGTCTGAGTTGATATGAGCCTAAAGTTATGTTGTTTTTTTTTTATTTCTTCAAGCAATTTAGGAAAAACAAGTACAAGTGCTGCTTTAATTTTTACAAACAAACTTCTTTTGTTTAACTTCTCTCTTTTGACCAGCTTTTCATAACTATTATTTAAATAAAGCTTTACTTTCATGCTATTAATAATTATTGGTTTGTCATCCTTGTCTGAATAAAGGCACTAGAAAAATCTATCAGAAAGATAGATTAGGCTGCTGCAATTCTGTAGTCGGTGAGTGTGTGAGGCAAACATTTATTGTGTACTCTATTTAAGGCTGTAAATAATTTTTTAAAAATGAATTTGTGACTTTAAATACTCAACAACTTTCTAAATTGATTAGCTCTTTCAAACTCAACTAAACTTTTTGAAGACTTAAACGACTTTAAATTTTGTTTAATATTTGAAGACTTAAACGACTTTAAATTTTGTTTAATATTTGAAGACTTAAACAACTTTAAATTTTGTTTAATATTTGAAGACTTAAACGACTTTAAATTTTGTTTAAAATTTTGGTGGAAACTCTGATTCTTATAATGTTACTTCAGTCATTCTTAGTTTTATCTTAAAAAAAATTAAAACCTAGTTTGTTCCTATAATTAAAACCTACTAAAATTTCATTTATATGACACCTACTATGACGCCCCGTGTCTTAGTACGTGAACTTTTTTGAGCATAAAGAAACAGTTGCAGTAAAGGAATGCAATTTCGCTGAACAATGAGTCATGCGAGATTGAGTTTTATTTGATGGAATAAAAAAACAAGAGCTCATATGAGCAGCCATTATGGAAGAATTTAAATTATTTGTAGAAAAGAGTAAAGGATCTAACTTACATCAATTGGACAAAGGTTCATACTTGGCAGCTAAAGCAAGTCTAACTACATGTAAAATACATTTTTAGACTTGGTCTATAAGAGAAAGGGCTTATTTAAAAGAACCAATCCTAATATCTCAGTAATAGTGTTGCCATCCATCAATATTGGAGTCAATATTTTGACAGTAAAAAACTGAGTTTTGTTTGGATTAAAATTCATTAGCAATTGCTAGCTCTAAGCTGTTTAATACTTATTCTGAGCAATCGAATAACGACTTATTTTCAAGATTAAAGTATATAGCTGTGTAACACCAAATAAAGGTAAAATTATCAAAAAGATCATTAAAACCGATGCAATGGACGAAAACTCCAAAAGTTACTAGAAAATAAGAAAAATATTGTCCATCAAGGCAACTTTGATATTGTCGTTAGAAAGGAATGATTCAGTAACTTTAAAAATTTTTCAAGATACACCATAAGAAGCAAACTTATGAAATAAACCAGCATGTTGGACATGCTGAACTGTTAAGAGCAATAGAACTTGTCTCACTACTTTTATCTAACAAGTCAGCAGTAGAAAATTGCGATATTAAAAGTTCAACTAAAGATTCAATAAACTTTGCTAATAATAATATTTTTTAACAAACCATCTAAAGAAAAACAAGGCGAAACAAAGCACAAGCTATCAAGGAACAAAAATAAGTGATTAGAGTTGTCTGGAAAATTAGTCAAAAAAGAGCCAAAATATTTGATGTGGTATCAAAAATCTTGCAAGACATTTGTTGTGATGGAAGACATTTGTTGTGATGGAAGACATTTGTTGTGATGGAAGACATTTGTTGTGATGGAAAACATTTGTTGTGATGGAAGACATTTGTTGTGATGGAAGACATTTGCTGTGATGGAAGACATTTGTTGTGATGGAAGACATTTGTTGTGATGAAAATTTAAGTCTCCAATAACAATACTAACTGAAGAAGAAGAAAATGCAAATCAAAAACTAAATGTGCTCCATTTTAATGAATCATACCAACTTTTAGAGTTTTTAAAATAGAACTAACAGATGCAGCTTTATAGGAGAAAAAAAAAAGATTTACGATATGCACCACTTAAAAATTTTGAGATCATCAAAGTTCTAAACAATACTAAAACTGCTATTAATAATAATAATAATAAATTTATTAATGAACAATTTTAATTATAATAAAAACAAAAAAAAATAACTAAATTTTAACAAATTTAGTTATTTTTCTAATTTAAACAACTTACAAACTGCTGTAACAAACAATTACAGAGTTTACCCCCCCCCCCCTCACACACACACAAACACACACAAACACATCAGAACTTTAGTATTTTTTTATTGTGCAGTTTCTTACAACCATAAAACACAATGATTTGTATCCCCCCTTCAAAATACAACAACCATGAGTGAAAATACATTTTGTTGCGTTGGTTTGACAAGGTTCTAACTGAAATTTTTTATATTAGGAGAATTTAGAAAAAAATCTTTTCATTTTTTGTAATGTTTAAATAAAATTATTTATATTATCGTTTTTTGTTCATACATTTATTTTTTGGTTGATGCATAAAAATACATAAATAAATAACAAAAAAATAAATAAAATGAAATTTTTTATTTAGACATTAAAAAAAAAAAAAGGAAAAACAAAAATTTATTTGTTATTCTCCTTATATAAAAAAAATCAGTTAGAACCTTGTCAAACCAACGCGACGATTTGTATCACAATAACAAAATATTTTGTAACTAATACTAGGAGCCATACCTTGGTTCTTGGGCATTGCAATGATAGATGTAGTCTGTAACTCTTGTATCTCCATCTCCATATAATCGTTCATAGCGTTCTTTTATGTCAGGTCGTAATCTTGATACTAGTGAAGGTCCTTCAAAAAAGTTTTTAAGAATCAACAGCTTTTAGAAATATAAAAATATGTTAGATTGTTTAATTATTTAAAAAAAAAAAACACTAAAGTCAGAGAAATTACCAAATGTCTGTCCAAAATGGAAGTTTTTATGCCAACAAAATATCAATACTAATTACCATATGTATGGTATAATCCATCTTAATATTTTTTTTCAATCTAAATACATAGTTTGGCATACTTTTTTTAGTTTAATTCAATCATAAAGCTTTGAGACTGGATTCGTAAGCAAGTGTTACTGGTATCAAACCTCACCACAACCTTGTTAGGTTAAAAAGAAACATGTTAAATATCACAATATTTAACATGTTTCTTTTAGCAGCAACCTTATTTTCTGAGGCTCAATATTTAAGAGTTATTGAGTTGAAAGGGTTGAGAAAGGGTTGTCATTAAAAACTGCAGAGAAAGTAGATTTGACAAAATTTTGTATTTGATTATTGATTATGCTAGGATGTGGTGTGAAGGTGAAAGGTACAAAGAATGTAACTGATTATGCTAGGATATGGTGCAAAGGTGAAAGGTGCAAAGAATGTATTTGATTATGCTAGGATGTACATCAAAGAAATGTAAAAAACAAGTAGTTAACGTTTCTGTACTGAAATGTTTTCAAATAAACCAGCAACAATAGGGTATTTATTTAAAGTTTAAAAGTAATGCCATTGTATGACAGCTCTAAACACAACTACCTTATATAAAGCTAATATCTAAAAAATATGTAAAAACTTGTTACAAAAATTGTAAAAACTAACTTTAAAATACAGCGATATATGGAAAATATAGAAACCCATACTTAGTATATCTTAATAAGTAACTATTACACTTATGCTTAAAAAGATAAATTAAAACAATATATCTATAATTTTATAGTGACAAAGTTAAGGATTTTCTTTTCTACAAATAATGTAGACTTATCTTAAGACCTATCTTCAGCAAATAAGGTTTCAGTGTTGCAAAACAAATTGAAATTAAGAAACATAAATTATAAAAATTTAAAAGAAAATTAATAAGGAAATTTTTTTCTTAGATAAAAAAAATTGCAAACTTATTTGTCAAACAATATGCAATTTAAGTGCTCAAACTTATATTAAAGTACACTTTGATTTTAAATAATGAAACTTGATGCAAACTTAAGTCATAAAGAAAGAAAGTAAAGAAAAAAAAAATTAAAATTAACTAAATAAAACAGATTGATTATAATACTTATGCAAGATTTACACAACATCACTGTTAGTACCACATTGAACTAGTTTCTCCAAGCGGTTACCTTTTTTTTCAAGGTTTGTAAAATACTTTGTGTTGTTATAGATATTCGTGAAGGTTAAAAACTAATAAACTTGATTATTATTAATTTGATTACCAAACTTACTTAAAGTGTAACAAATGTTTAATAAAAATAAACATATGTATATTATAAAAATATGTAAAAATGTTTAATAAAGATAAAAATGCTTAATAAAGTTACATAACAACTGTTTAATGGAACATATAAAAACAAATGTTTATTAATTATACCATAAGGTCCAAAAGCTCTAAGGATTGCTAAAGGGTTGAGTGTTGAAGCCAAAGCAGTAAACACACATAATTTCCATTTTGAAAAATAATTTTCAAGTACATCTCTTTCAGGAAAACCCCAGGGATCTGCAAGGATTAAATGAACAACTCTATTTGGGTAGACCATGGAATATAACACAGCTAAATATCCTCCGAAGCTGTGCCCAAGTAAAACCATATCTACAATGCCAACAGCTTTTCTCCAAGATTCTATAGAGCTAACAAACATATTTTCTATATCATCTTGATCATTTGGAAACTTTGGTCTAGAGCTCCGCCCAAAACCCAATAGATCAATAGCATATACATCTTGTTCTTGAGACAATTCATCAAAATTAAGAGACCAAAAGCCAGCACCAGCAGCAAATCCATGAATCAGCACCAACGGTGATTTGCTGGAGTTACCATTTGTAGATAAAATTTTATAAGTACGAATCTGAAAACCATCAAAGATTTCAACAAAGTACTTTTCTATTGGGACTTTTACAGCTAAAAATAAATAAATTTAAATAAATTTAAAAAATAAAATTTGTTAAATTTATTGTAGAATACACTAACATATTTGACATGTAAATGTAGTGTACATTGCCTGTTTATCAAAATATCAAAATATCTTGCGTTATCAAAAAACTTTATTGTGTTTGTGAATCGTTAGTCTGATCATCAATCTCATAAATCGAGGTACTTAAAATGATTCTAATTTTAAAACAAAAATGGAACGCTAATAACCTTTATTGTCTGTCTAGTGACAAAAATTAGTACCTGCTGTCTATAGATAATTACATAAGTTTACCCTTCTATTTATTTACTTTAAACACAGCTACTGTGTTTTGCCAGAATAATAAATAAGTAGCCAAAACTTTTGTCCAGCTGTGCTACAAATTATTTTATAACTAGCTGTCTGGACAGCTAGTTATAAAATAATTTGTAGCACAGCTGAGGGAGAGGTGTTAGTGGTTTTGTGATGATTCATTCAGTACTTCTACTAAAGTGTTACGATGTTGGAACGAGAGGGGAAGGGGGTCAAAAATGATCAAAAATTGTGTGACGTAATTTATGGATCATCCCTAAGTAAATAATCATAAATAATAATTGCTAGTTGTCAATATTTTTAATAATGCATGTTTTTTAGTATTTTTTTTTTTGTACTTTTTTATTTATCATTCATTTTATTTGTGAAAACAAAGAATTTTTTATTGGTCCATTTGTATTTCTCAATTAAAGATGAACTAAAATATAGTCTACCTCGTGGTTATAGGGCTATAATTTACGATTAACCATATATACATGTATACATTAATTTGAAATAATCAAACTTAAAAGGACACATACTTACATACAGATCAAAGTAAGAAAGCAAGTGACATTTTAAGAGTTAAAAGGTTATGCTGCTTGCTTCAAATTAACAAACATAAAAAGTCTTTTTATTTGATGATATAATCAAAAGCATATTTCTAAAAAGTTTAAAAAAAAAGACTTAAATTTATATTAACTATTTGGCTTATCACTGCAAGTCAGAAATAAAATTAAATTTCACTGCATGTCAGAGATAGGTAACGGGTAACGAGAGGGAAGACAGTTGTCCCAGGGAATTTGTCTTATGGGTGTTAAAATCATTTTTTACTCATTGTTCCATGTATTTTTATCATTTATCTCATGTATATTTAACTTAGTAAATCAATGCAACGAATTTTAAAAATGGTAGCAGAGATGCACAGTTTCTGAAGTACAAAAAACTTATTACTTTTAAAAAGAAGTGATTTTTTTTATGATAAAATTTTTTTCTGCTTTTTATTATTTCAAATAAATTATTTTATATAGAACATTCAACAACCATTTTAAAATTATCTATTAAAATACATAACAACAAAACCACTTACATGACAAAACCCTATCTTCAGCTTCCTCCAAATGTTTGGGAGATGTAGGTAACCACCGAGGCATTGCTTTCAATTTAGATATTACATTTTAATTTTATTTTTAAAATTTTTTTTTTATTCTTCAAAAATTTAAACTTGTAAATGTTTATAAATTTTAAAAGCATTTTAAAAATAAAAATACATTTCTACATGTTTTTTTCAACCCATTAAATTTAATAAATATAATTTTAATATTTAGCTTGTTTTTTTTTTGTTTTTTTCATTTTGTTTTTATAATTATAAAAGCAAACTAATAAAAAAAATTCAAGGTGAGAAATAGTGGAAACAACTTTTTTCTTATTTTAATCTAACATACATTATCATTTAAAAATGAATTTCAAACATATTTAACTTGCACAAATATGCAAATAAATATTAGTAATCACATAACAATTAGAGCACACAATCTAAAAAATCTAAAGTAACTTTATTTACTGATACAACATACAATACTATTAATACTATTGATACATAGCTGATTGCTTGTTAAAAAGCTACCTTTTTTGATAGCTTGATAAATAGCTACCATTTTTGAAAGCTTAAATTGGGAAGCAAGTTTAAAATATAACGTAAATGTTTATAGCATACAACAACTGCATTTATCCTCATTTACCCTCTTGCTTGCTATTTTCTTATTTTGAATTCCATTCTTTACTTCTGCAAATCTCTTATTTGTTCTTATATGGAATGCAACTGTGATACTTTGGCTGGTTCTTCTAAGATGCTGTTTATCAGCTTGACAAAGTCTAAAAACGTATTGTAAATATATTTGGACCTGCTCAATCTGCCAAACCTGAGCCACTTCCCTATTGTCCTAAGGTTGCATCTCCTTCTTTTTTTGCAAATACTATCAGGATTGATGCTCTGTCAATCTATCATCTCTAGTAATTAAAATTCATTCATGCTTGACTTGTCATTCAGCAAAGTTGCACCCTTTTACTGTATCTGTCTTTCATGCTCCAAAAACCTTTAATCATCTAGTTTTTTTCCTCATACATCAATGCTTTGAACTCTAAAACCTTGATGTATTCCGTATTTTTTTTCACCTGCTTTTTCCTAAAATTTCCTGGTAAAAAAAACTTAACATTAATTTACTCAGATCCAATACAATGACAAACAATTAAATTCTTAATTGAACAATTATATTCTTAATTAAAATAACACAAACAAAAAAATTTTTACTTTTTGTATGTTATTAAAACTACTTCCAGCATTAATGTTTTGAAATTCTTAAAATTTACAACTTATTCGCTAAAAGAAGATAAAACTCATTTTATTATCACTGTATAATTTAAATGTTTTAAATTACCTTTGGCACAAGACATTGTCTTTAAAATGTTTTAAAGACAATGTCTTGTGTGGATAGTTGCATTTAAAATCTAGATTTAAAAAAATTTTATTGAGCATTTCATTTGAATGCGGATTTATAACATGTTTAAATGGAGAATTAAACAAATATTTGAAGCATTTAATAACTTTATAATTTAAAATAATAACTACATGGCAAATATATTTGATAACAACATATAAGTAACCAAACAAAAGATAGATCTTAAATAAATTTTATCATTAAAATTTAAACTGAATACTAAATTTTAAAAATTAAAACTAAAAACCATGACTTTCAACTCTAAATTGAAAAAACCAAAACTTTTAACTTTAAAAAAACACTTTTTTAAAGTGTTTTTAAAATATTTTATCTAAAAAATTTAAACTTATTGATTTTAATTTTATTTGAATAGCATTACACATGTTGTTGCTCTAAAGTAAAAAAAGTAAAATAAAGTACCAAAAAAAAAAAAAAAAAAAAAAGAAATTTTATATACAGTCAAATAATGAAATATGTAAATACAACAAAATACTATTAACATTTATGTTTAAAAATGCTTCACTTAAAAACATTAACACTCAAACTTTTCATACACATTTAAATTCACCATTTTATAAATGTATACTTATAAAAAAAATTTAAACTGATTTATTAGACGCACTTTTAAAATGTTAAAACAAACTAAATTTGTAGTATAATTTTTGATTAGTACATACTGATAAATATGTAGGTATGAAGCTTCCAAAATATTCAAGTTTATAATATTTAAATTCTAATATTTACAATCATATAAAACCAAATTATATGAATAATTTATGATTAAAACATAAACATACTTATAATTTATAATACTAAATATATACAATTTAAAAAATATATAAAAAAACAAATCTTAATACTACTCATTTTTTGTAAAATGGAAATTTTTCCTTCTCAATCACTGAATCTTTTCCTGCTCCACCTCTAAAATTGTTTGTAAAGGTTCTACTTTAAGGTGTCGCTATTTAAAAAAAAAAAAGAAACAACAATCTTTCATATATTTTCAGAATTGATTGACTGAACTGATATTTCTCCATTCGCTCTCTTGCAAGCATCTAAAACAGCCCTGTTAAATTCTAAAGGGCTGTCCGCAAAAATGTGATGACCAGCACCATTTATTATTTTGACATTAACTTCTGATGGATGACGGAGATACTTTATTGAATATCCTGATGTGGTGTCCATCCAAGATCGTGAACCAAATAAAATAGTCATGCAAACATTAGCATTAATTTCTTTTATACGATGAATCATTGGATATTTAGCCCATCCATAAGGAATACTCAGAGATTTAAAAGCCATCTCACCACTATAAAGAAAACAACATTTAATTATCTAAATCTAAAACAGATAATGCTCAAAATTATGAACTATTATTTATTAAGAAAAGTTTTTGTATTGATCGACAAACATTTATAGGTAACCCAAACCTCCGAGACATGTTGTGTTCATATTAAAGAGAATAATAAAAAAAAAAATGATTGAGCTAAATTTTTTTGATTAAAACAAAAGAATAAATGCATACCAAATAAAATAAACTTTTTTATTTTAGTCAAAGTTTGCCTTCTCCATTTTGTTGTAAGGCAAAAAGTCAGCATATTGTACGCCACAATCTACAGACTTGATAATTTATTCAAGCGTGTTTTATTCCTAATAGTTTTTAGTACATGATGTCATCGATTTTTTTGTTTGTTTACATAAACAATCTTTTACACTAATATAAAATTTAAAAAATTAGTTTTTCTTGGTATGCATTTATTCTTTTGTTTTAATCAAAAAAATTTAGCTTAAACATTTTTTTTATAATTCTCTTTAAAATGAACACAACATGCCTCAGAGGTTTGGGATTCTTTTAATAATTATTCTGAAAATTTATTTAATGTTTGTCAGCAACAACAAAATACATAAATACAACATTCTAACAACAAAATAGTAAAACATTAATAACAAAAATAATATTTATAACATTAACATAAAAATAATAATTTATAGTATTAAAGAAAATTGATTTAGGAAAACATAATGACATCACAAAAAATATCATTAGTGGCATAAATTCTAGAAGAACTAAAACACTTATTTTATGAGAAAAACTTAACGAAGATCCTATTTTCTTGATAGAGATTAATTTGTCTGAAAATAAACTGATAAATAACTTTAAATAGTTAAGTTATAAATAAATAAAATTTTAAAAACCTTCACATAATAAAGTTGTATTTATGATTAAAAAAAAGTGAAAAAAAAAAGATGAAAAAGAATATTGAGAAAAGGAACAATACAAAAAGATTTGTCCTTTAAAAGGAGATGTTTAACCTTTTTTGAAAAATATTTGTATTGACTAAGCAAAAGATACACATAAAAATATAATTAAAAAAAATTTAATCAAGACATGTACCTAGGAAACTGTGCATTGCAGTGATATATATAATCAAACACTCTATCATCGTCTTTTCCAAAAACACACTCATATTTTTTCTTTAAGTCAGGGCGAGCTTTACTTACTAAGGATGGACCTGAATAGTCATAAAGTAAAATGGCTTTTGCATTAAAAGAATTTAACAAAAAGTTAAATAATAATCAACAAAACTAGATTTTAAAACTTACCCCACGGTCCGGCTGCCCGAACTGCAGCCAAAGGATTAAACGGGCTAACCAAAGCAACAATTACTTTTGCCCAAATGGGTATTTTAAAGTTTTCTTCTCCAGGAGGAGGTTTTTCTGGTATTCCCCAGGGATCAGCTAAAATTAAATGTTCAACTCGCTCTGGATATTTGATAGTATAAGAGCATGCCAAGTAAGCACCAAAACTATGACCCAACAAAACAAACTTTTTTAAATTAACTTTTTCTCGCCATTCCTCAATCGACTGAACATAAAAATTTTCTGCTTCTGCTCCATCTGAAGGAAAAGAAGGTCGAGAACTACGACCGAAACCGAGCAAATCGAAAGCATAAACTTTTTGATGTTTTGATAACTCATCAAGATTTAAAGTCCAAAACCCAATTCCTGCTCCAAAACCGTGAATCATTACCAGCGGTAATTTTTCTGAACAATCACAATCCATCTCAACTGTTCGAATTTCTTGATTATTAGAAATTGGGACAAAATAACTCCTAAAACTTGAACGAATATCTAAAATTTTTTAAAAAATTGTAAAAATTGACAGTATGTGAAATTTACCACATGAAAAAAGTATAACAAGTAAAAAATTTAAAGCAATACTTCTACATAAAAACTTATAACACTCTTATGTCTAAAAAAACTTGATATAGCATGACATTTAAATGTGTTATTAAAAACTTAATTGGAAAAAAATGAAAGTAATTTGTCTTATATATTGTTTTCTATATTAAATTATAATAACATTTAACTTTTAAACACTTATTTGTTACAAAGTGTTAAACTCAACATTTGTTTCTGTTTTGTAAAAAAGTTTTTATTTTTTACAGTTTCAAGTTTCATTTTTTAACTAAACACACTTTTTTAACTTTTTATTATTTATCAACATAAATTTTAATATTACTGTGATTATGATTTAGGGTTTGCATCTGATTCTTTATATAAAATTCTTTGATTTTTCATCAACTTTTTTTAAACTAAATTGTTTCCTATAATCATTTCAACATTTTTGATGCTTTTTCTATTTATAATAATCATCTGCTATAATCAGGGATGCGGAGTCCCGAAAAGGACTCAGGATTTGAATGTCAAAAAAAAAATTACTTCTTCATAGTTATTGGTATCCAGGAGCTCTAAAAAATATAAAAAAGTTTTTGGACTACTTATAGAAAAAAAATTAGGACTTTTAGGTAAGAGGAACATTTTTTTAAAAATAAAAGTTGTACAATGTTGTATAATAAAATATTTGAAAAATAAAGACACTTACTTTCCAACATTTTTTGCTCAGCTTGTGCTAATTTGGAAATCGATGTTGGTTTCCAACTCCATCGACAAATACTTTCATTCATTTCACCCATTGATTAAACTTTTTAATTAAAAACTCATCTTTTGCTGAATAACAATACAGTTTGAAACTTCTATCAAAAAATAAAAAAAAGTACATAAAATACATGATAGAAGTTATCATAAAGATTATTCTTCAAAATTTATGCTTATATATACAATATAGTTACATATGGCCAGGTATCAAGGTCAGGCTTAGGGTTAGGGCTACGGCAAGGTTTAAATTTGGTTATTTTATTGTAATTAATCGATTTTGTAAATAGATGAAGTTAAAAATTAGTATAATATAAAATAAATAAATAAAAATAACAAAAATTAATATAAAAATATATTTTTATAATAATAAATTTAAATATGTATAAATAAAAATATAAATATAAATTATAAAAAATATAAAAATATATATAAATATGATAAAAATAACAGAACAGTTTCAGAACAGAAACAAAAAAAACATATCCCCGAAAGTTGCGACTAGGATGCTATATATATATATATATATATATATATATATATATATATATATATATATATATATATATATATATATATATATATATATATATATATATATATATATATATATATATATATATATATATATTTATATATATATAGCATCCTAGTATATATATATATATATATATATATATATATATATATATATATATATATATATATATATCCTATATATATATATATATCCTATATATATATATATATATATATATATATATATATATATATATATATATATATATATATATATATATATATATATATATATATATATATATATATATATATATACCCTCGGAATTAGGAAAAATGAGGTCAACCTCAATCTTTTTGTGTTAGGTTGTTAGTTAAAGTTAGCAGTTAGGTTGGCATTGCCAAATGCTGACCCTAATTCTGAGGGTTATATATATATATATATATATATATATATATATATATATATATATATATATATATATATATATATATATATATATATATATACACACTTACTAAGGCGTGTTTCGATAAGCATTTGCTCACTTTTTCTGCTTACCTTAAGCTATACCAATTTTTTTGAAAAAGAAGAAAAAACGAAGAATGATGAATGAAACAATTGCTTCCCCATCCCAAACCCTTAGTCGATGTAGCAGCACTCAACTGCGAGTCAGGCTACTTGTCAGTCGATGTATGTACTGAAGCCCCCAGCAGCAGGCTATTTCAGTATGACGTCAGATTGCTTACCTTAGTACGCAATACTATTTCAGGCCTTGTTTTAAATAAAAAAGTGCTTAATGCATTAGCTTAACTCGATTTTGACGTCATAAAATTATCTTAATTTTTTTTTATAGACGTTAAGTGTTTTAACTACCACAATAAATAAATAACCGCACTAGTTCAATTTAACAACTAACTCAAATATAAACTATAAACGTTTTAAATATAAATTTATTATGAAAACTTTGTAATGTTTTTAATTGTTATTTTATTATTAATTTTAGTTCGATATTATTTAGTAAATTTTGCAAATTTTGAAAAATAAATTTTAAAAGCAAGTTGCCAAGAAAATCCCTAAAATCAATGGGAAAATCCTAATTCTCAAGAACATTTTTCCAATCGACATTTTTGCAGTTATGCAATCGCATAGTAGTGAAGTTTTACACAATTAATAAATGAGAGATTTTATGTTATTTTTCTATTAGTTTTTGAAAATAATTATTTTTAATGATTTTTAGAATTATTAATAAGCTCTTATTTTTGAAACTAATTTATATGAAATTATTTTATATTGAATTAATTTATAATCTTAATATTAATCACCTTTTAATTGGTAAATACCAATGCTTTATACAGGGACTAAAAAACATACTAATTTGAAAATGTAACCTATTTCCACCATATATAAAAACAGGTCTTGTTAAAAAGCATTATGTAGCTCACATTTCATATACAAAATTTAAAAAGAGGCCTTGTTAAAAAGCATTATGTAGCTCCCATTTCATATACAAAATGACAACTTGCGTACGGGTTAAGCAGTTTAACATTCAGCAAAAACATTTTTATTTTGGAATATTTAAATTACCTTATAATATCATTTATGTGACGTTTATTCAGAAGGTATTAAGTTGTAAAAAAAAGCAATTAACAGCAACTGTGAACTTTGTTGTTGAAGAATCTTAATATTTTATATTAAAATGGTAGAAGATTGGCTGCAAGAGCAGGTCCAACTATGTTTACAATGCGTTTTTGCACCTTATCTAAAAGAAAAAGGGCATCATCAGAAGACCCGCCCCAGATAAGGCAACAGTATTCCATGTTAGGATGGATTTGAAATTTATAGAGATAAAGAAGTTTAATCCGGAGTAAGAAAGTGTCAAGCACAATAAAAAGATGCAACCTTAGCAGATGCTAATTTTGCAATGGATTTGATATACAGTTTTAAAGAATGATCGGAAGTAAGAGTTAATTCTAGAAGATGAAGGGTAGATGACTCATTGAGTACATTACCGTTTATAAATATAGGAAGAGTTAAATTATTGTGACAACAATTGGCTAAAGAAAGCTTATGGCGAAGACCAGCATGCCATACATAATCAAAAGCTTTAGAAATGTCAAGACTGATAGTCTTAACCTCTCAACCTCTATCTGATGCACAATAAAATCTATCAGTTATTACTGCTAGCAAATCAGCTGTAGGACGAGAAGATTAAAATCCATATTTGATGATTAGAAAGTTATTAGATTTAAGATGAGAGAATAAGGGGGAAATGGGGATTAAAAGGAAAATGGGAATAACAGATGAGATTAAAAGGAAAATAGGGATAACAGATCCCACTTTCCAGTCTGCAAAAACAAGACTCTGATAAGCATTTGTTAAATAGTTTTAAAAGTATAGACGGCAGCTGTGGAGAACAATTCTGCAAGACTATAACAGGTATGTTGTCTAGGCTACAAGCTGTAGAAGAATCTAATCAGGAAATCACTTTTGATACAGAAGCTGGAGTAATACGAATGTCAAGCAACCGATCAACCTGTTTGCAGGCTATATCAGATAGAACGCAACTAGTGAAATTAAGATATGATATTGATGAAAAATTTTTAGCAAACAATTCGGCTTTGTCTTTAGATGAGGTGACAAAGTCTTAACCATACAAGAGAGGTGGAATAATAGATTTGCCCTTATTATTGATACTGTTAAAGATTCTCTAGAAGTCATAAGAGCCTAATTTTTGTAATGAAATACGAGATTTCATGACCTGAGAATAGTGGGCTTCGGCGTTAGACAAAACCTTTTTACAATGGTTTCTAGCAATAGTAAATAGACATCTGTTTTCTGAAGAATCGTTTTGCTGATAGATATGGAGGTAACAGTTTCAATCAGAAATTGCGGCAGCACAAGTGAGGAAAAACATGAAGAAGAGTGAGGCTTGAATTGAAAGGGGTACAATGATAAAGGGATTCTGATAATGAAGGAGAATGAGATAATAGTTTTAGAGAGATTAAACCATGATCAGAAGCACCTAAGGGTGAGTATAGAAAAACTGAACACTGACTAGGATCAGAAATAAGACATAAGTCAAGTAGAAAAGATACTTAACACCTGCAGAGTTACTGACACTAGAGTCTAGCCATTCAATGTGATGAGTATTAAAGTCACCAACAACAACAACATTGGCTGACATATAAAGTGAGAGGGCTTGGTCAATTTGATTAGAAATAACATCAAAAAGAGTGCAGTCTTGAGATAAAGTAGAGCGATATAGAACAAAGAGAAAGGAGATTGAGTGAAGTAGTGCTAATCGAAAGCACATAAAAGAATAGTCTGGATTCAAACTTAGTTTCCGAAAAATGGGTAAATTCTTACAAATGTAAATGTCCAGGCCAAGCATGTGACTATTAACCATCAACACTAAGATCACAAGATGAGACAGCTGAACTCGAATTAGTCTCAAAAAGAGCAAGTAGGTCTGGTGAACTTTGCAATAGATAAGACTCTACAAAGAAAAGTTACTTCAAAGACCATGAATATTAGTAAATAATAGGTTTAGAGAGCTTGAAGATGACGATGGTTTTTTGCGTTTCATAGATTTTGGTACTTTAGACATTTTTAAATTTGTTAAAGAACTTGATTTAAAGCATAGACTGTACTCAGTACACTATTTAATAGTTCAAGCAACTGTATCATTACTATTAATAAACTTTAAGTCGTAACAAAGAGCTCTAAATGTGGCCTTGACAATGCACACCAAAAGTTCAAACAGTGACACGATCCATGCGCAACATGGCACTGTTAATACTAATATTTTTTAGCTGTTGATAGAATTAGCCTCTCTGAGAACTACTACAGAGTTTGGAAAACCTGACTACCAGCCAGCCTCAGAACCATAAAATTGAGTTTTAGAGCTGTACCCTCATTAGGAGATAATAGAATGAGTTACCTAAACATAAAAACAGAAACAAACAAGCAAAAACCATGAATTGAGTCAAGAAACAAGGATTTTTTATGTGTAAAAATTGCATATAAAATTTTGAAAAAAGATAGGAAGATTGTTATGTATTAAAAATAGGAACATTGTTATGTGTAATTGCATTTAAAACATTTTTTAAAAAGGTACATCTTATAAATGCACAACCTGTGTTATATTACAATAATTTATCTAAAAATTACATTGGAAAACACATTTGATCAGAATGTTCAGTAAAATAACAATAAATTAGCACAAATAACATAAAAATAACACACAAATTGCCCACTTGGCAGTATTGGTTTAAAAATACAGTATACATTTAAACAATTTTAAAGCATAGCATATTTTATTTATTTATTTATTTATAAAGTCAAAAGTCCCCTAGCAAGGTTGTGGTGAGTAAGACTTAAGTCTTAAAAGCACTTATTTAAACAAAGTGGCAAAATTTATGACTTTGAAATCAAAGTTCTTTATTTTTATTGCTAACTATACTTTTAAATAGTTCAAATTTAGAAAAAATGTTTCTTTACTTTTCGCCTTTCATTAACCATTAATGTCATTAAATTAAGAAAAAACTGTAAATATTTAATTAAGTCTTTTTATTTTAACATAAGAAAAAATTTTTTAAAGTTTTTAGTAACATGTAGGCCAATAGACATTAAAAAATTGAGGTTTTCAGTAACTTGTATGATAATAGACATATAAAGTTTTTTGCGAACCGAGACATTATATTTAAATGACCATTACAGTTATGATATTTAAAAAAATGTTTGCTTATCAATTTTACCATTTAAATTAAATATAATGAACTTGATTTTTTTTATTTAAATTAGGTTGTATTTCTTTTAAATTAAATATAATTATGCTTGTGCTTGAAGTCCATAAAATATATAGAAAAACAAACAATTTAACAACAAACAGAAAATAACAAATATTACATCATTAACAACCAATAGGACAATGGTTTGCAGTTCACATTTTACAGACTACCCTTTCTTTTTAGAAATGGAGGTGCAAATTGTGTTTAGCTAACAGGATAAAACAATTTCAGAAAATTTTGAAAACAAGTTATCATAGTTACTATTTATAGTTGTAATAAAAACTTAACAAAATACAGAAAAAAGTGTTCTTCAAAAGGGGTTTCCTGAAATTTTTATAATCTACTTCACAATATTTCACTATAAAACTGTCCATAACAACTGCTATAATAAAGACATAAAATTTTACCCATTAATTATATTTTAAAAATTTCCAAAATTTCTCGGAAATCTTCATATATAAAAAAATTTTAACCTATAAAAAATGACTTTAAACTAATAACAAAAATTATTTTTTTTAAATTAATTTTCAGGGATTTTAATGTTTAAGGGCTATATTAAATTCTAATCTATAAGAAAGATTTTTTTAACTAAATATATTATTACTATTTTATTTTCTTCTCCACCACATGCTGCAAAATGAAACCTGGCAAAAATCAAAGCTACTAGTTTTGTTTGATGAGTAATGATCTACAAGAAATAATTTTTAAACAGCACCAACCTTATAGCATATGTGAGCAACAATTTCACATATTAACTTTTATTTTTATTTTTTGCTACTTATAAAGGTTTTAGTAGATGCATTTTTTTAAGGTTCGAGGAGTAGCTATCAATGTGTGAAAGACATTTTTGACGGCACAAAACAAAGAGAACCATTTGAAAATATTACTTCCTTCAATTATGGTTACTACAAAACTTTTAGTAACCTTAATTTTAATAAAAATAGAAATGAGATTAATAGAGTATTTGTGTTAATGAATTCCAAATTATTTACTTTCGAAAAACTGATAAAATGTCTTGTTTCTTGAAAAAATATTTTAGAAGAAAGGAATTCTTTTTATCCTTGCTTTTTATGATTTTTTTTTTTTACAACTTGCAACAGTTTTTATTTTTGTGTGTGTTACATTTTAAAGCAAAATTTTGCTTTAATATGTAACAAATGCTCTTTGTTAATACATTTTTATGCTGCAAAAACAATTTGTTTTTTTTCTCTCTTAACCTGTATTTGCTTTTTTTTTTTATTGTTAATCCTCTTCCCAAGAGGACTACTAGAGTTGAGGAGGCTGCTTTATTTAACTCTGAAACCTTACTCTTATTATTTAACTCCAAAACACGCACCTTGAGAAACAAGGCTGCTGCATGGAGAAACAAGATGAGCGCAGTACTACAAGGAACATGGTGGGGATCAAACTCTAAACTTTTTGTTTATGATACAAGGGCTCTACAACTACACCACTACTGTATTAAGAAAAAGAAAGAATTCAATAAATACAACTGTATTTATAGTGATATTAATTTGTGAATTATAATCGAAAATGAAAACATGAATTAGAAACCAATGAAAGCCTAGCAATCTGAAAAGCTTTTTTAAAGCTAAAAATTGATGTCTAGAGTGGAACAGTTATGTACTGAATAAAAATGGAACTTTAGAATCAACTCTAATTGTATATTTTCTGTTCATTGCAAAAAATTAAAAACAAGATTATTTTTTTGATAAGCAGGATAAATAAAAAAGGACTTGTTGAAAAACCATTTTAAATTTTAGAATACCCACTAAGAGTTTTTTAATTTTGCTAAAACATGAAAATGTGCCTGTCACATATGTAATTTAAAAAAAAATCAATGATTAATATAAATGATACATGTACAAACTGATATGTTTGTATCTATGCAAAATCTCTGAAACTAAATATTTAGGATCCATCCCCAGACCAATAGAGACATTAGTTTAAGATTAAGTTAAACTTTCTCTGCAAATTCATAAAATATTCTAACAACTTATCAGCAGTACAATAACTCACTAAAAATTAAGATAAATTATATAGCAATTAAAAAAATATTAGAGTCAATATAATATTAATCTGATACTAGATATGTGCAATATTAAAATTTATGTGTAAAATAAATAAATTAAAGAAATATATATTTTTTTTATTCCCAATTTTATGGCAATTGAAAAAATGCATTATAAAAAAGAATATACCATAAAATTCAAGGATATTTATTATTGAAGTTTATAATATCTCAAAAATGTCTTGCAGTACCATTATTCATATAGAACCTTCAAGTGATTTAATACATTCGTTATATTATACAACCTTTAGATAAAATGCAATGTTTACACTTTTACCATAAATTTGGCGCATGCGCATTTTAAACGATATCGATTTTTTAAACGTGCTTTTTTTCCAATAACTTGGGTAAATTAGAAATGAGGTAATTCGGTATAGTTGAGGCACTTTTAAAATATTCTAGCGTCTGTAAGATATTTTATTGACTGAGACATATTTCCGTTAAATGGTTAGGCCTGTGAATTATGAAAAGACAAAAAATACTAAAATGATAATTTTTGCGGTATCATAAAATATAAATGTTTGTAGCAAAAAAACCGAGACCAAAGATTCTTTTTTTTAAAAAAAACATCTTAAAATCACAATCGCTAGTCCAAATTTAAATATGATTTTAAATTATTACGTTTTTTGGGTAAAATAAACATTATGAATAGTTTAACAATATGATCTGTTCTGATCGTTTAATGGCAATTTTTCATAATTTTAAGCTCTTTCTTGGTCGGAATTCTAGTATTTTTTATGAAAACTGATAGAAATTTTGTGTTTTGACAACTTTATATAGATAATATACGTCAGAACCGATTAGAACTAGGATCAGTAGTAAATTAAGGAACATTTTCAAAAGGTTTTAACTAAATCCATGTTAAAGGTGAGTTTCCACTCAATGGGAACGGGATAGGAAAGGGAAAAATAATCACGTGAGCATGCGTGGTTTTACTTCGGACAAATTAAAACTTATAATACGCATGCTCACGTGATTATTTTTCCCTTCCCTTTTCCGTTCCCGTGAAAAATGGATGAGTGGAAACTCACCTTAACGCTGATGATGACGCGAAATTGATCTAAAGACTTCAAAATAGTGTTATTAGATTCGCTATTATGGGTAATAAAATGGTTTTGAAAATTATATATAAAAAAGAAAAGTTTCTTTAAATATTAAAAAAAAACCTGAAACAAAAAAAATTATACTATCTAAAGCGTGTTGGACATAATACGCTGATAAAATCTTGCTAATTCCAAACTAAAGTATTCGAATAATTTGTAAATCGCCTTAACTACACCGAGAAGTTGGCAAATTTTGGACGGCGTGCAAGCACTCTTTAACATAAAAAAAAACAACTGTCGTTAATTTTATTACAATAATATTGTAATAAAATTATTAGATATTTTATTATTATATTATCATATAACAATATTATATTGTTATACTATTCAGTTGATAAAACTTTTCTCCATTAACTTACTGTTAATACACGTCGGTAGTCCAAATATTCAAATAAAAAAAGATCCACTATAGAACGGTAACTCACATAAAATGAAAAAACTTGAATTTTTTTACGTATGACTTTTAAACTTAATTGTGCAATAATGGAGCACGTCACTATTTTAAAAGAAGTACCAGTCGTCACCAATTTTAGCAATTATGTTTGGAAAAGCACAAATTAACATTTTTTTGATATAAATTCTCCATGAATTTTTGAAGGTATTATATCCGAAATTTAGTTCCAAAGTATTAGACTTTGTGCATTTTTGTATTTTTACTTAATGACGTTGTTGATTGGCTTTCGTGATTTAAATTAATTAAAAAAGCAATCATAAGGTTGGTAATGACGTTTTTAAGAAATGCAAAAAAAAACAAAAAAAAAACAGCTGATCTTCATGACTTGATTTCCTTTAATTGATGTATAATCATAAAAATTGATACAATAATTATTACAATAATTGTATACCACACAGGTAAAACCGCAGAAAAATTAAGTTTAGTGTTTAGAGATTATCAGACATTTGTTTGTTATCAGACATTTGTTTATTGATAATATATATTTAATAGATATAAATCACAGCTTTTTTATAAACTGAAACGCCCAGATATTTTTTCGAATTTTCTTTTGTCGTTTTTTTCGTTTTTTAAATTCTTTCAATTTATTAATTTTTAAATTTTCGCTTTTTCGTTTTCGTTTTCAATATTTTAGATAGTGGGTTTTTTTATTATTTAAACGTGAGCCCCCTGGGAGTCAGTTTATATGTATTTTAGAAGTGGAGCAGTAGACCACCTTGTAATTATTTAACTGTTGTAACATTATTAATAACGCCAGAGGAGAATAAACTTCAATACGATAATATATTTAACTCAAAGTATTTTTTTAAGCATTTTAGTTTTAAAAAATATATATAAATGCAGTCTTATTGCTAAATACAAATAATACTTATTCACAGTGTTCGTTTCGATATACTCATTTTGTTGCCTAAGTATCATTGGGATCACCCGTTATCCAGCACCTTAATGCCATCAAAAGAAACACATCGCTTTTTTTTCAATGTACGGCTTTATCTAAAACATAAATCGTACGACTTTATCTAAAATGTTTATAACTCTTCTTTATTTAGTAATTCCTGCATTTCGTTTAAAAAATATTTTAGAAAATTCAACTATCAATTATTACATGAATTTGTTTACTAAATTTAAATATTGTTTTTTAATAGTATTTTTCTCAAAATATACTATTTTAAGCAAATTGCACAAATTTTAGGCATGCAGCTCAATTTTTTTAAATCGTATGGGATGCGGCCGTTGTAGCAGCAGAATGCAGTGCACAGTGGGAAATTAGATGGCCAAAAATCAGAAAAGTAACTTGGTTCAATCATTATGTCTGATAGTGGGTTTTGTAACTAATGCCCTCACTAAGAATTTTCCAATTTATGAAATTCTAGAATTCAAGTCAGAGAATACAAAATAAATACAATAGCGAGAGAAAACGACGTTTGAAGAAGCTTTTGTAAATTTCTTGCATAACAAACCTTTAGGAAGTGTTTCTGAAAATACCCATAAAGAAATACCATCCAGGTTTCCATCTTATCGAGTAATTTTTGAAATAAAAAACAAGTGCTTACGCCTTAAAACATCCATTAAAGTTACTGAAATAAATTAAACTACTGGATCCTATGGATCATACATCCAAAAGGCTTGTGAAACTACGGGAGAAGAAAATTTTAAAAGTTTTAGTGATAAAAAGAAAGACTTTGATGAATTAATACTAATTAGTTGTCAGGGTATGGACGAAACATCAAGTCACTAAAAATACTATTAACGTTTTAATAATTCCAATCAAAATAACCTTCAAGATTCGGATCTATTAGTCAGAGTAACATCACCTATTCGATTACATGTACAATTAGATTTAAACAATCTTTTATGAAATAACAGAATGTCTTAAGGTATTAGATTCTGTAGACCAATTATACTGGAGTATGTAAATGAGTATAAAGAAATGGTATTAAAAATTAAGGAAGAAATTGAAAAAGAAACTCTTAATTTATATCCTGATAAAATTTACTTTTCAGGACATAAGTATGTTTTTATCAACTATAGTTTTATCCTTTCAATTGATGTAAAAATCTTAGTTACATCACGGAGACTTCTTCGACACAATGTTGTCCGATTTGTCACGCCATAGCTAACATGATGAGCAATCTAAAAAAAGGTTTGTTACAAATAGGCAGGCATTGTGCTATGGCATTTGACCAATTAGGTTTTTTAAATTTATTCATATTTCATATAGACTTGAAAAAAACTTGGAAAGTAGAAAAGGTTTTCAAAAAATCAATATTTTTTGAGAGAAAAAATTATACATGATAGGATGTTTGAAGAATTTGGGGGTAGATACAATCGGCAGAGCAGAGCAGATTGGCAGAGCAGATCATTGTAATGTTGATAGCGGCAGAGCAGATTATCTAATCAGCCGTTTTCTAATGTGTTTCTAATTTTCTAATCTGCCAAATATTATTTGGCAGATCACACATTATTCAAATATTATTTGGTAGATCACGCATTATCAAAATATAATTTTGCAGATCATAAAATAGAAAACGGCTGATTGTCTGTCTGTGATAATCTGCTCTGTCGTTATTATTATTACAATGATCTGCTCTGCCAATCTGCTCTGTCGGTTGCATTAAGATCTGCCAAAATATTTGGCAGATCACACATTAGAATACGTCAGATCACTTTTTTTTTGAAAAATATTGCGACAACAAAAAACGTTTATGTTTAAAAAGTCAACTCATAGTTCTTTCTATTCGAAGTGCATTGTTTTTTCATAAAAATATTTGGCAATCACATTATAAAAATCCTATTATATGATCTGCCGAATTATTTGGCAGATCACACATTAGGAAACTGCTTGAATAATCTGCTCTGCCGTTATTAACATTTCAATGATCTGCTCTGCCAATCTGCTCTGCTCTGCCGATTGTACCTACCCAGAATTTGGTTTGAGAGTTGATGAACCAAAAGCTGGTGGATCAGCTACTGGAACTAGTAATACCGGAAATTTATGCACATGAGCTTTTTCTGATCCTCTATTACTCAGCAAAATTTTAGAAATGGATGAAGAAATTATCAGATTACATAACAAATGACAACATTTACATTACAAAACCCAAATGATCCGGAAAAAATTGATAAATACTGCAATGATACATATAAGAAGTTATTAAAGATATATGATTGGTTCAAGTTCCCAGCTTCCATTCAAAAAGTATAAGTTCATCCTTGGGAAATTATTATTAATTTACCAGTTCCATTTGATTTAATGAGAGAGGAAGCAGTTGAATCTTGACAGACATTTTATAAATTTAATCGTGAACATTATTGCAAGAAAAAAAAGTAGAGAAATAAACTTACTTTACATTTTCATTCTCGGTATACATACTTCTGATCTCCTAATTAGTTCAATCTCATTAACTAAAAGATTGAAAAGAAAGAAAATATTGCGCCTACCGGAAAAAGTTAAAAGTTTGTTAGCAGTTTATAGCGATGATAAAGTAAAAGATTCATCTGAATTGAAATTAGATGAAGTTAATGACTTTAGTGAATTATATTAAAATGTTGATAACGTTGACGAAAATCTAAAATTAGATATCTATATCTAATTCTAGATTTTCGTCAAAGAGGTAGAAGAATAAAGTTCTAAACTGTATCATCTGTATAATGTATAACTTTATATTTATTTTTCTACTATATAAATTTATTAAGTATATAATAAAATATTTTAAAAATTGCAATGATTTA